AGTAAATACCTATCTTTAGAATAAATGTTCATTATAATAATTTTTCTGTTTTTGAAACTACTTCATATATTATTATTCGTTGTTTTAATAATAAGTCCTGGAAAATTTTCACGTGTACATTCAGAATTTCAGGTTAACTGAGAATCCAAATGAATTTTCATGTAAATTTTCGTCTTGCTTTATTATTTTTCATAGAGTGCTTTTCAGTTCAACTTTAAATATCTCGTAATATATTCCGTTTTCCGACTGTCTGTACTCAAGTGCATATGTATGTTGAATGTTGCTGAGAAAAGCATTTTGCATAATTTTCTCTTAATTAGAAAGCACACATATCTGGAGCTTTTAGAAATTTTTATTTTTAAAAAGTTAGGTAGTTTTCAATTAACTTTTTCGTAGGTATTTGCGAATCATTAGTGCAGCATGTAGTTTTAAACAATTATTTTTTATAACAGAATTTCATAAATATAATAATAGTAATAGTGAATATGAAATACATCCGCAAACTTCGACGTTAAATTTTTAGGGTGTGTTTTTTTTCAATTTTGCTAAATATCGTAAATTTTCGTTAAAATGCGATTATATCATTATATATTAATAAAAAGCTAATAAAATTCTCTATAATATTATAAGACATTATTCGTCATATGGTTCATCTCATTTCACAAAGCATTTTCCCATTTTAAGTGTATCAGAATTTTATAATTTCTAACATGTCTATTATATTTCTATTTCCATAAACGTTTGTTTATCAATAAAACCAGAACATCCTACATTTTCTCCGTGAACAAACCAGGTGCCCTAAAAATTCGTTTCAAAGTAAACATGTTTTCCGTGTATTCAGATGATATTTTTTTCAAAACAGAGTAAATACACAGAAACAGTATATTTGCATATTGTCTGGGACAAATATAACAGACAGAAAATTGAAATAATCCAAGTGGAACATAAAGAAAATAACAACGGGCAGAAGTCGTAACATCACAGGTAAATATGGAAATTCGAGATGAAATTTGTTTTGGGCGGATGGGAAATATCTTATAAATAATATAAGGATGTTTTAGAAACCACGAAGGCGAAATGTACTTTTATACGCTCAGTTTTTGGCATACTAATTGCTGAGATAAACTTTATTCTTGATCATCGAAATGAAATCGATTCAAAAATTATTACATTTATACGCTCAGTTTTAGACATACCAATTGCTGAGATAATCTTTCTTGATCATGGACATAAAATGAATTCAAAAATCCATATCTTATTTCAGGAATTGCTTAAATTTGAGAAGAAAATGTTAAGGTTGGAATGCTGTTTTATAGGATTGAAGAGAATATATCTTAACACATTTGTATCATTTTTTTACATTTCTTCAAGTGACTTCAAATTTTTATTACGGACATTATAATTTGTTCACATTAGTAGAAACTAGATAAAATTTACTAAAATATATTAAACAATCTTATATACGCTTGGATATTAAAATTTTGAATAGTTCGTAGTTGAAATTTGGACTTTAGTATTTTGCTAATTTGTTATATATGGGGTTAGAACATTTTTTCACATTTCTTCAAATAACTTTTAATTTCCATTTAGGACATTTTGATTTGTTTACAATAGAACAAGCTAGATTAAATTTAATAAAATCTGGTAGAAACTGTTATATACATTTGGATATTGATATGTGAATACTTCGTACTTGAAATGCGTACTTTAGATTTCCATAATATGTGGAATTAGAACATTTTTTTACATTTTTTCAATTAACTTTTAATTTTCATATTATGCATTATAATAAGTTTATAAAACTAGATGAAATTTACTCTAATAATATAATAAAAATTATTATTTACATGGATATCAACATTTTAAATAAAATGAGCTGCGATAGCTTTGAAGGCACTTTTATATTTCGTGTCCTACAAAAAAATAAAATGCAGTTTTTTTTAATAAACCTTTTTTAAGCAATACTGGCTATTAAAAATTCCTTGAATCCATTATTTTTTAATTCACAATCATACAATTTTAGATCTACATTTTTTTTCACTTTTGAGTCTTGTATAAAATTTTATTTTCCTTGAAAAAAATACTACTTATGTCAGGAGTCAAAAATCTGTTTTTATATTTCTGCTAATTTTTGTGATATTGAAATTGAAATTATTAAGATGAGAAACTATTTTAGACCGTCTTTCGAATTTTGTAATCGCCAATTTTCTCATTCATAACATATTAATTCATTCGTATTAATAAGCATACTCGTTGTCTTAAGACAATCTGAGAATGATATACATTATGATCCAATTGTAACATAATATATATATATATATATATATATATATATATATATATCATTTTCGGATATTTGATGGGTATTTGGAATTTTATCATCAAGAAATTACGATGATTCAATTAAAGACCTATATTTTTTGAAACCTGGGTCAATCCGCGAAAAAAAATCTAAACATTGCGATTTCGAATAGAATTTTTCTCAAACACTTTTAATTTATTAATTAAATATTGCACAGACACGGGCTATTGTATGCCCTAAAATCGTAGTTTATTATTTTAAATATTAATGAATTGATATTGTTAACTCATCACATCACAAAAGTAACTTATGACACAAGTTTTGTCTATAATATTTTCTTAAAACTTGGATAATTTTTTTACATTAAAATATTTGTAGTCGTAGGGCTGAATATTTGAGTATGAGTCTATATTACTATAGTATCTACCTTAAAAAAATCATAAACATCGTCGAATTTTTTTTAACACTTTATTACAAGAAAAACTAATCGGCACGATTCCCAACCAATATTTTCCGAACACTTTTAGAATTTTGAAAATCGATTCAGGATTGCGGGCTAAAACGTAAACGATTTATTTTTCACTTTTCTTCGGAAAGTTAATAAATTTACACCAGCTCTCACACTATTTCTCTCTAATATACAATACTTTGTTAGCACAAGAACAGACCCAGTGCACCTTGATGTTGCACTTGTGCTACGATACAGCTACGTTTCCGTAGACCGACATTGTATGACATTATTGATTTGTTTCCATGACTACATCACATCTGGCATCAGGAATATTAGATAACTCCGGAGAAACATCATAAATGGACGGCACGTGAGAGAAAATGTCAGAGGATTTCTTCTTAAGGTCAAATGAGGAAATATACTTGGGTCGTGATCTTATTGTAGAACTTAAAAAGATGAAGACATTTTCGGAGACGTACTTTTAAGGTGGGCATGCAACCCGGTTTGGTCGGGTCAGTCCCGGATTTCCACCTTGTGTCCCGGGTTTTAATAAAAACAATATTTGTCCCGGATTTAGATTTAAATGAAATCGATAACTTTATTTTTGAAATAAACAGTTGAAAATATTACCTGAATATTTAAATTTCAATTTCGATTGATTAAGTCAATTCTTGACACATTTCCACTTTCAATGCCACTTTCAACTAGTTTATTAAGTTTTTGAAAAAAATGTTTTTACGAAAATTGGTTTATAGAGATACAAACACGTATTTGTGCACTAAATTAATACAATTACGTGTATTATAAATGTGTTTGAGATTGAAAATCGCAATATTGAAAAACGAAAATGATTTTATTTTTTATGTATCAAAATGTTTCAAAGGTTTCTGAACATTTTGGCATACCTTAGAAAAATTGATGTATGTGTGTGTTAGTGTGTGTGTGTATGTGTGCGTGTGTGTACGTATGTGCGGATACAATTTTTCATCTACGATTTCGAGAACACAGATCAACCAATTTGAATAATTCAAAAAATATTCGATTCCTATTCATTAGGAGGCGTGCTGATTAGTTTTTGGCAAAGGCAGGTTTAGCCGCCAAAAAACATTTTACTTGTATTGACAAAAGAACTGATGAAATTTTTGTAAAGGCAGGTATAGCGGTTTCGGAGATTCAATAAAAAAGTAAAAAAAAATGCCATTTTGCGGACAAAAATGATCATTGTCATATGCACATGCAATTATCAAATATTTTATAGAAATTTTAATAATAAGAATAATTTTTTTTCTACGTAGCTATTATTTTTCGATATTTCGTTCTTACGTGGCTAACGTATTGCGATTGCTTTTAAAAGAAGTTCAAAATTTTCAAAAAGTATAAAAAATTAAAACTTTTCAAAAATCTAAATGTTTTTCAAACATTTTAAAAATGTCGAATATCCATTATTTTTCAAAATTCTGAAAAAAACCCTTGAATTTTTGTTGAAAACTCCAATTTTTGCAACGGGAAGTTCCATCAATTTGCCTTAATGCACTAGTTTAGTTTCTAGTGAAAGCGATTAAGTCGATTATTACACATATCGGGAAGTTCATGAAACTTGCCTTAAGACAAAATGCCGTTCACACCTAGTTCTTATTTATATGCACATCCTTAAGTAATTTATGTTCAATCGATTTTACCATTATCATCTATCTATTCCCAATTTTGCATCTATTCCCAATCCGACTGAAATTCTGCACGCATCGTTAGTTTCCTAATTTAATAGTTTGGCAAAGTCCATAATATATATATATATATATATATATATATAAAGTTCACTCTGGTTGTTTTTCTGAAGATTAATGTGGGTTCCATGAACTGGCACTGCATAGTTTCAAATCCTAGGAAGGGTATCTACCCTTAGAATTCCTTACAAAGTACGGCGCGAATTATTCATAAGAGATGAATGATCAGAGTTTCTGTGAAGTAGTTTGACTGAGAACTCTTTTTGTATGAACTTAAATTGGATAGTCGTCGTAGTTTTGAAAAAAAAAACTTGGAAAAAAGCGTAAAGTTTATCGATTTAAGCTGCATGATCAATTAAAAATTTTTAAAGAGCGGATATATATGCTTGTGTGTGGGAAAATCCTCAGGACGATACATCAAATAAATAGAAAATAGTAGAAATTTACCAATAATTTACTATCATATCATTTTTACTTCAAAGTTGTATTATTAAGTTTTTCACTGAATATTTTTATTTTTTTACTAGGAATTCCGACTGTGAAAAGGGACAAACAAAGTTATTTAATGACGACTCTCCAAAATTTGATGGAAGCCATGAGTGAATCAGAAGCTGATGACTCTATAGTTATTGTTTTTGTGGCAGAAACCGATTTGGATTATGTGCTTTTAGTTGCTAAACAAATAGAATTGAGGTTTCCTAAACAGGTAAAAAAAAAGCAAAAAAATATTTTGATAAGAATATATAAAAACTTTACCATTTTTTTCTTTAAGGTTTCCTCTGGTTTACTAGAAGTCCTAGCACCACATCCCTCCTATTATCCAAATTTGGACAAATTAAGGATAACCCTAGATGATCCTATCGAACGAGTCAGATGGAGAACGAAGCAAAATTTGGATTTTGCCTATTTAATGACCTATGCTCAAACTAAGGCCACGTTTTATGTACAATTAGAAGACGATATCTTGGCTAAGAAAAATTTTATTTCTTCCATGAAGAATTATGCCATCGAAAAAACCGCGAGGAAGGAACCGTGGTTCGCGTTGGATTTCTGCCAACTGGGATTTATTGGTAGGAAAGGAAATTTATTTATGATGTTATATTTTAATTTTTTGTATACTGGCGGTGGACCTTTTAACAGCGGATCTTTAAGCCCCGATCTTCGAACTTACCAAAAATGAAAATTTTTATATATCTTTACGTTTTAGAGACTTGTGAACATTTTGGCATACTTTAGAAAAAAAAAAGTGTGTGTGCGTGTATGTGCGTCTGCGGATACAAATATTCGACGACGATTTTGCGAACATGGATCAACCGATTTGAATAATACAAAAAACATTCAATTCCTACTGATAAGGAGACGCAGCAAAAAGTGCCAAAATTTCGACTCCAAATGCTATGCAGCACGATTACTTGAAAAAAATGTTAAAAATCTCAAAAAAATACAAAAAATAAAATTTTGCGAAATGCCATTTTTTGTTTAAAAAATTTCAACATTTCTCAATTTCTAATCTAAATCTAATTTTTATATTTTTAAATACCCGTAGGGCAAGTTATAGTAATCGCAAAAAAATGGAAAATGAAAATTTTTATACATCTTTACGTTTCAAAACCTTCTGAACATTTTGACATACCTTAAAAAAAATGGATATATGTGTGTGTGCATGCGTGTGTGTGCATGTGTGTGTGTGTGTTTGGATACAAATTTCGTTGACGATTTCGAGAACACGGATGAAGCGATTTGCATAATTCAAAAACATTCGATTTGTATTGATAAGGAGACGTGCTGATTAGTTTTTGGCAAAGCAGGTCTAGCCGTTCCGAAGATATGGGGCAAAAAGTGCCAAAAACTCAGTTTTTAAGAGAACGGAGCGTTCGATTTAAATTATTCAAAAACATTTTACTTGTATTAACAAGATGAAGAACTGATGAACTTTCATAAAGTAGGTCTAGCGGTTTCGGATATCTAGTAAAAAAGGTAACAAAAAATGCCATCTGGCGGTCAAAAATGATCATTAGACATATGCACATCAAATTATCAGATATTTTATAGAGATTTTAATAATAAGTATAATTTTGTTTACATTCCTATGGGGTTCCGTATCAGCGTTTATCGGTTAGACGGCGACGCGGCGCTTACGCGCTTCGATATTTCGTCTTATGCAGTTAAAGCAGTACGATTGCTTTGAAAAAAAGTTCAGAATTTCCAAAATATTTAAAGAAAAATACATTTTTCTTCAAAAAGTCTTATTTTTTCAAAACAAAGTAAATTTTTGTCAAAAATTTATAGCTTTTCAAAAATCTTAATTTTTCAGAGTAATTTTTTTTCAAAAATGTTATTCTTTAAAAAAAAAAAAATTGGTACGGAGTTCCAGCAATTTGCCTTAAGGCACGATGGCATGCCCACGATCCATGCCCTAAATATTTTATCACGCACATCCTTACATAATGCCACTGTCTTAGGAAGACATATAAGCCCTTCTGATAAGGGATGTAATTTATCACCCCTAATTCAGAAATGTTAAGAACCACTGACAGACTCAAAGTGGAAAAAGACACGTAATATACAAAGGACACGCAAAGTGAGAAAAAATAATGATTGGTGCTCGTTTTGCGTTTTCATCATAAGCAGAACTAAGAAATATAAAATATTTCTGAGAAGAAATATTATATAAGAAGAAATACTTCAAGGACTAGGAAATATGTTTGTGTCAATCATAATGATAGAACACCTGGATATATATATATATATATATATATATATATAGGGGCTTAAAGGTCCGCGAGTACAAAGGTTCACCATTGATATCTCAAAAACAAGTAAAGTTAAGATTTTTTTAACAACAATATTTGAAAGTACAGGGCAAAAGATGTATAACCAGCCTTGATTTTTATGATGGCAATATTTGAAAATCCATAATAAAAGTATTTTCTGCCGTTTTTTTGGTTGTGAGCACTGTTGTTTAGTTTACGAGACCTAAATATAATTTTTAAGCAAACGTTATTTAATTGTTTTATAAGATGTATTGTTATTTTTAAGTTCGATTTTACATTTTTTTATGTAATCTTCATAAAAGCTTACGAGTAGCTCTTCATAAAAGCTCTGGCCAAAGGTGTGAACAATGAAAAAAATATATAAAAATGTAAATTAAGTTAAAAAATTATGACGAATTCTCTTCGTACAGTTCTATGCAAAATTGGGTCTTCTTACCCCCTTTTCACTGCCTATGGACATGGTGACATTTTTTGGAAAAATGAAAAATATTTCAGTAATAATTTACCTGGGAGTTTTACTGAACTATTTGTTGTGATGTAATTGATTTGGTTTTCACAATGTACTTGCTAAAAAAAATTGAACTTTGTATCCCGTCCTATCTTTTGCAGAGTATTTTTTTTAATTTTGTTCTCCAACCTAATAATAAGACAGCATTTTTTAGACATTCTGAAGTTTATATTTTAATTTTACCTGGATTTGGAATAATTTCACATATTATTTCTCAAGAATCAGGAAAAATTGAAACTTTTGGAACTTTAGGAATAATTTATGCTATATTAGCTATTGGATTATTAGGTTTTATTGTATGAGCTCATCATATATTTACTGTAGGAATAGATGTTGATACTCGTGCCTACTTTACTTCAGCTACTATAATTATTAAACCACATTGATTTAATTATCTAGCTATAATGCTGTCAAATCTTTTCAAAATTCAAAATTCAAAATTAAAAATAATATAGTGGCTCTTTTTTCCCCTGGCTGGTTGAACTGCGACATAAATGCGATAATAATATATGTAGAAAGTTAAATAATACCTAGGACACTATAATTATTCAGATATTAAAGTTATTTCACCGCATTTGCTCGGTTAGTTTCCATTTATCTTGTTTAAGGGTTGAATATTGTATTATTCACGGTTTAATCTATGCCGGTCATTATTTATTGTGTTCATTATGGTTTGCGTTTGCAGTTTATAATTACTATTTACATACCTTATATGTATGTATATATATATATATATATATATAATATATATATAATATTTTAGATAGAAAAAGATAGATAAGTAAAAACAAACGTGTTTTAATAGGCATCATAATGCTTTATAATTACGCCTTGATTCTATTATTATTTTTTTATTAACTTTCCATAAGGGAAATAATTGTAATAGCAAAAAAATCGAAAATAATTTTTTTTATATTTCTTCACGTTTCAAAAGTTTCTGAACAATTTGGCATACCTTAGAAAAAAAAATGATGTATGTTTGTGTGCGGGTACAAATTTTCGTTAACGATTTTGGGAATACAGATTAACCGATTTGAATGATTCAACTAGTGGTATATGGCATGGTGCCCTAATTGCTGGAATTTTTCGTAACAAAAATTAAATTGTTTAAAAAAGATTTTGACTTGTTAGATTTTTGAGAAATTTCAAATTTTTGAAAGAAATTGACTTCTTTGGAAAAAAAATACTTGAAAACAATTTTTTTTTTATTTTGAGATATTTTAGAAATTTTGAACTTTGTTTTTCAAAGCAAAGACTTTAGACTGCGACGCGACGTTTACGCGCTTCGATATTTCGTCTCTATGACAGCCACGCAGCACTATTGCTTTGAAAAAATGTTCAAATTTTTCAAATATCTCAATTTTCCAGTTTACAAAAGTTTTTAAAGCTTTTTTAAACATTCTAATTTTTGGTAATTATATGAAGTCGAAAAAAGAATATCAAATTGTTGGTATTACCAGCAAGTTGCCTTAAGGCACGATGCCATGCACCACTAGTTATATATATTATTTATTTTATGAAACATGTTTGTACTCTAACTAATTATTATATATTATGCATTATTGCAGGTAAAATGTTTAAATCAGCCGAATTACCATGGTTAATCACATTTTTCCAAATGTTCTATAATGATAAACCTGTGGACTGGTTACTGGATCATCTTATTTCCACAAAAATATGTAATTGGGAAAAAGATAGTGTAAGTGTATTTTTATTCTAATTAGAAGATATAATAATTGATACTTATTACTTATACTACGTTTGTCAATAATCAAAGACAATATTGTTTCGTAATTTTTAATAATCGAACATTAACATTTTTTACATTTACATTACATTACATTTTTATACAAAGTATCGATTTTAAGGACAGATTTATGTATTATCAAATGTCTTACAAATAATTACATTAATTTACAATTTTTCATAACTAATTTTTCAAATACTATCTTATTCATTATTTTTTCTAATAGTGCAATGAAAATTTGAAACGAACTAAATTTATATAACTATGTTGATAAATTTAAAAATTTATATATGATTTTTTTTTTCAGAAACATTGTAAGAAAGAAAAGGCCAAAGTGTGGATACATTACAAACCCAGTTTGTTCCAACACATTGGAATGCATTCGTCTCTCAAAGGAAAAGTTCAAAAGTTGAAAGTAAGTTTTAACAATTTGTTTTCTTAATAAATTAAGGAATCGACCATCAACTGTTTGTAGAAATTTCTGTCACTTAATCCACTTTAATTATTTATTTTTTCTAATTCTAATTCTCATTGTTAAAGAATTCTTATATGAATATCAAATAGGTGGTGACTTAACACATTGCCAATATAATTCAAATATTTTTAGACCTTCAAATTTTTTTCTTTCTATGTGACTTCTTTAAGAAATCGACTTTAAGAATTGACATGTTATACATTTTTTTATTTTTTCTTCCCAGGATAAACAATTTGGAAAAGTACCTCTGTACATTCCTCACAAAAATCCTCCAGCTGATGTCCAGACAGGAATAGCAGCCTACAAGCAGAACACTTTGGCAAAAGCTTATGCAGGAGAGGGATACTTCTGGGGTCTTTTGCCAGAACCAGGAGATAGTCTTCTATTAAATTTAAACAACCAATTGCAGTAAAGAGGTAGACGATTGTTGTTCCATTTGCCAGAAATGTTTTTATGATTTTACCAATAAACTTGTTGGTATTGGTATTTTGCCTTGAGGCAAGTTGCAGGAACTTTCCGATATGTGTAAATAATCGACTTAATCAATAAAAAAAAAAAAAATGAGTGATTAAAAGTATTCCGAGTGGATTTGTTATATATCATGGAAAACGAACGAACACGTTAACTCGGAGTATTTTCTAAAAGCAAATTTTCAAAAATCAATAATTTTTACAATTGAACCAGTTTCTGTAGGACTTTAATGGTTTAGTATGTTCATTAAGACCAAGTAGTCTATCGTTATACCAAGTAAATCGTCTAATTTTAATTTTAACAAAAGCCAAAAAACTACTCATTTTCTCAAACTTTGATCAATTTTTAAAATTAAACTACTAGTCGTAAGGCTGTAATATTTCAGTAAGTTTTATAAGACCATGATATATATCGCTAAAAAAAGTTTCATAAAAATCAGCTTAAATTTTTTTTTCAACAGTTAATTACAAGAAAACGGTTCGGTAGATTTTCACCTAAAACTAATCAATATTATTTATAACTAATATCCTTAGATCAGTTTTTGATTTTTTAAAATCGAAACACGGTTTAACACTTATTTTCAAATTACAAAGAAACGGCTCGGCAGATCGTCGCACAAAACAGATAAACTGTTCTTCACTAAGATACATCAAATGGCTTTTAAATTCATGAAATCGGTTCAGGCGTTTTTGAGCAAACGTCGATGAAAGGTCTAATTTTGACAAATGCCAAAAAAACGATACTAATTTTTGCAAACTTTGACGAATTTTTAAAATTAAACAATTTGTCGTAGGGCCGTAATATTTTAGTATGATCTAGAAGACCATGGTATCTATAGCCAAAAAAAACTAATCAGCGCGATTTCGAACAAATATCTTTCGAACGGGTTTTGAATTTTCAAAATCGATTCAGAATTGCGGGCTAAAACGTGGACGAAAATTATTTCACTGTTCTGCTATTAACAAAGAAACGGCTTTGCTGATCGTCGCGCAAAATTGATGAACACTAGACCTCATCGAGATATATCGAATAGCTTTTCAAATTTTTTAAATCATTCGATTTGTTTTTAGGAAACCGTTGATTTACGGCAAAAAATATGTTCATACACACACAAACACACACATACTTTGTCCAAATTTGGTCTCAGTCGATTCAGAATGGCTTGAAACGTCGAGAAAACATAAAACTAGCGAATCGGATTTTTTGATGGAAACAGAAACTTTTCCTTTGGGAAGTTAATTATCCCTTTTTGTATATTTTAATTCTGGCACATGGAATGGACGTGTAGATTTACTATTTTATTCTTTTTTTTCAGTTATCTTTTCCGAAGTGGCAACGCAGAACATCCATCAGACAGATTCTACAATACTACTGTAGAGTTTTACCAGCATCTCCAAAAGTAATTATGATGTCGGATCTCGCTACAATTCCACAAATGATGGTTTATAATTGTAAGTAAGTTTGATTCTACTGGTCTAGCTTATGGTACTCTGGACGACCCTGAATTTGGAAAAATTGCTGCTATCAGACTTAAGGTACATGCTGATTCTGAAAACTGGGCGATACTAAGCGAGGTGAGGATAAAATATTAGTAAAATGTAAATGGTAAATGAGATTTATGTGCTGAGTTGTTTTTTCACAGATCCATATAGTAAGTGATGAAAACAGGTGACCTTTTATCAAAATCGATAAAAACGAAAACAAAACTCGTCCGAGAGTCCTAGACAACCCATCTGACATATCAAATTTTGGTGCACTTGCAAAAACTTTAAAATCCAAAGGAATCAACGACTTCGAGACAACTATCTCCAATGCCATAAGAAAATTGAGAACTTCATCCCAAGGATTTTATAAAACAGGTTTTATAGATTTTAATGAAACAGAATCCAAAAAAGGTGGTAAGATTTTAGTAGTATAGTTAATAAAACTGGAAATGATGATAATTTTAATAGACGACTAGTGAATTCATCTCCAAATAGAGTTAGTACCGAATTTAATATTGCCAGTAGAAATTTGAGCAACAATGCTTCGAATTCAAAAGATTTTATAGACAATGCTATAGATAATATAGATATTAACGATTATATACAAATTACACCTAAACCAAGTAAATCATCTATTATCTCGCAATATTACGAATTGGCAAGATTTAGAGTCCCCAAAAATCAAAATTTGTCTGAAACCATGATAGCTTGAGAGTATTGATCTGTGATAAATTTTGTAAATTTTGAAAGAGTATAAATATAATTATGTATTATAAATAAATTGTGCAATGATGTAGATGTGTGTATGTTTAACTGTTTTGGTGTGTTTGTCGTTTATTAAATCATACACATGGTAATTGTATATTTAAAATAAATATTTTTGTGCACAATTTATAAGTAAATGTGATGTCGAAAGAAGGAACGTGTGTGAAGATTTTTTCTTTAGTTTGCAAATTATGACTGAAAATTAGAAGAAATTTTATTTATTTTATTTATTTATACAAGTTTTTGGAATAGAATTATTTCTTTATTTTTTATTTTTGTGATTAAGATTTGGTTTCTTCTACAGAAATTTCTTAAATAATTTAAATCCTGATAATTTCACATTTATTAAGTCACCATGGATTAATTTAAAGTTCTGGCACAAATGCTAAAATTTTTCCAATTTAAATAATTTATTAAAAAATATTACAGACTCGTTCAAGATGTTTATCGAATCAAAGTATCTCTTAAGGGGGTCTTCCTATGTGACGGCCTGTTTTTTAGGGATATTTAGATTTTTTTCTACGACCAGTAAATAGTTAGAGCTTTAAGTTTTTTATCATTTATTAATACATATTTGGACAGTATAAATATAAAATTTCAGATAAAAATATTCAGTCAAACTAGAGTTACAGCGCTCTGAACACCCCCGCCTCGAAAAAAGAGCTCCCACTGTCTCCACGATTCCGGCTGATCGGCTTATCTGACCAAAAAAAATAAACGGCGTTTTAATTTGTAATTAAAAGCACGGAATGAACTACAATCAAATGAATATAAAAAAAATGGATGTTTTATAGACATTTGAAATAAAAGTTGCAAATTAGGCGTTTTTTTTTGTTTTTTTTACTATAAAAAATCGAAGTTTTGAAATTTTTGATTGATAATAGTTCATTCCATGCGTTTAAATATATTGAGTGTGCCCTGTAAATTTCAAGTAATTCGGTCCAGCCGTTTCTGAGATACAATGGAGACAAGTTTGAAAAACACAGTTTTGAGAAAAACGCGTTTAAAGATAAAATGATCGTTGTACTATATACTATATGTATACTTTTTAAATGGCTGTAACTCAAAAACTATTTGAGATATCGATTTGAAATTTTAATATGTTATTTTTAAAGGTATAATCTACCGAAATATGAAATAAAAAAAAATTCATTTTTTCAACTCATCACATAGGAAGACCCCCTTAATAAAAATTTATTTACAAATTTTAGAATAGAACCTAAAAATATTATAAAATAAATATCGTATAACAAATACTAATTTTTTTTATAAAAATAATTTGATAAGTATAGATCTCCAGAACGTTTTTTTGTTATTTTATTTGGGTTTAGTTTGAATAAAATTTAATTTAATTGAATAAACAATGATTGTTTTATAAACATCTGAAAAACGAATTGTCTCAAAAAAAAAACATTGTTTTTAAATAAAATTAGAAGGCGTCCATTAATCACGAAAAATCACGCGAAGGAGGGGAAGGTTTAGTTAGATATCACTTGTATTTATTTTTTACCCATATTTAAAAAAAAATAAAAAAAATTACGTTTTTTTCGTAAATTCAAAAAAAGTGATGTTTGGGGGGTGTAGGGGGATTATTTTAAATATCACCAAGTTTTACCAAGGGTTCAAAATCCCTAAAAATTCGATCACGTGATTAATGGACGCCCCATTAGCATTTTCGTAAAAAAAAATTTACTAATTTCATAAAAGAGTATTTTAGAAGATAAAATTTACTTACAATTATAAAAAAAATTAGCAGACCTTTTTTCACCACATTTATGATTTTTTTAAAATTATTATACTTATAATGGGGCGTCCATTAATCACGTGTTCGATTTTTTATGTTTTTTGGAACCCCCATTCCCCCTGATGATACGTGGTGATATTCAAAATTACCCCCCGCCCTCCCCTAGCAAATATCACGTGTATTTTTAGTTATAAGATAAATTGTATTTTTTTTATTTTCTTTGAAAATGTTTGGATTTTTTTTAAAACATTCAGCTAACAAATAAATGCACGTGATATCTTACTATACCCTTCTCTCCCCCAAGTGATATTTCGTGATTTTTGTTAAATCCCCCCTTCCCCTAAAAATCTCACATGTTTAATGTACGCCTCCTAATTATCATAAAAATGTGTTTTTTTTAGATATTATTTATTTTTACAAAAGTCCTTATATTTACAAAAATTCAATTATTCTTACAAAAATGGCATTATTTGAGTAAAATTCATTTCCCATGTAATTACAAAAAATATTTATATTAAAAAAAATATTTTTATTAAATAAAATTCCATCTTTGTGACAATTCAAATTAAAACACTTATTATTTTACCAAAGAAAAAAATTCCATGCACGTTTTCTAACATGATTGGTTTCGCTGTCGTAGTATATAAGCTTCTTTATTTTCTAGAATTGCAAATTTTAATTTGCATGTAGGACCAAAATATAAAAAAATTATGTGCATTATATATCTATTAAAAAAATATGCTTTTATCATATTCACACAAATATGAATCTATCGTATAGTATTTTTGCAAAAATATTTAATATTTTAGCAACGTCGTTCCATATAATTTTAATATTAAGAGTATCTTCAATGACTAAAAAATGTTGTCGTATATCATACCAAATATGAGAATAAGAATTTTATTCTTAAATTTATGTATATTGATATTCTAGTTGTTTATTGTTATTATAATAATGTGTTTTTTTGGATGATTGTAGGAAAAAGTGGCATGAAAAAGTAGCAGTTTGA